CTCAGACAAAGGACAGCTAAATTGACTCACCTAGTCGGTTACGGCCTGGGTCTGAAAGGCCGATTGCTATGAATGACGGATGTCATTCAAACTAAATACTTAATTGCTATCGAGTCGTGTAAATGTACTTACGACATGATTACGGTTTGTAACTTCAGTTAGGACCTAGGCATCGGACTGTACGAGTGTGTTTTTGGATATTCCAGAAATCACCCACTGACCAAGACAAATATATTCTAATAAATTTATATTTGGACCATACAACATCTACAGAACGTTTACTTTTCAAATTAGATAACAACACCTCACAAAAGTGTTGTATGTACTGTAAAGCGCTTTAGAGTGGTTACTGTTAGTTAGATAGGGCGCTATGTCAAATGTATATTATTAGTAGTAGTAGTATGATAAGTATATTATTTGCCCTTAACGTTCATTCCAACAGTTGATTGCTGTAATTTAAAATCTTAACCAATAGGACACTGTGGCAACTGTTTAGAACACGATTAATAAGGTTCTATAAAATATTTGCATACATGGTATTGAATATATTCTTTATTGATGTAAAGAAACTCTTTGCATTTTCTACAACATTTAAACGTCTGCCACATCTGCCTTTGAACGCAACAGAATCTTCAACTACCTCCAATTCTAGGAACGCTTTGCATCATCAATTAATCTTAAACATCAATGATGCATCCCTTATGTCTATATTCATTTTTTTTTTTTTTAGATTTCAATTCGTATATAGAAACATTGTGTAGATCGGGTGTTTACACAATACAATTTCATCTTTATTGTGATTCTATTTGATTGTTTAGTTTAAACTTTATTTTATTATCGGTATGTTATTCCAGAAACACAAACATGATATGCAGATAGGATTCGAAAACATGTAAGTACGAACTTATGCTAATCCATCATCTTTATTTTGATTCTATGTGATATTTTATTTGGCATATTTAACGAAACCATTAAGAGGAATGTTAATATTGGTATCGCATGTTTGAAATCGTTTCATGATAAGCGTTTCTGTCAATGCTAATAGTTTATACCAGTTCAGCTTCAGTTAATAAACACTGGGACATGATCATTTATTACAGCTATATTTGGACCTAAACTAAGCTGATCGGAGTAAAATCGACTTTCGGTAAAAATGACACCCCCAATGATCGTATATATGATCATTTTGTTTTTGTTTTACCTTGAGTCGATCTGAACTCCTAAAACATGTAAAAATACGCTGAACACCTTAGTTTAGGTCCACATATAGCTGTAACAAATTCGCAGGTCCCTGGGTCAATGAACACTAATAAAATATTTCTTTCACTTTCATAATATTTAAAATGAACGAAACACACACATGATTGCACATATAGAATTCGGCAACAGATACATGATGGCAAAATTGTAGGTTACAATGCACTTTATCAAAATGTCCTTAAACAGGCACGATCTTTTCCATTACCTCCCGACTAACCGATAGTTTTGTCGTGTACCTATTAGTCGGACATTCCCTTCCTCTGAATAAGCTTTTAAATATCCATTAAATAGTGTTTAGCATTAAGGCATGTAATGTGAGAAAGTTGTTGGATATTAGCCACAGAACGGGTATACAATGTATAGTTTTCACTGGGTATTCCGGTTTCCTCAACCAAAGAAACGGGTTCTAACCGTGAATGATCTTAATGAGTTAATACGCCATAAAACAAACACTTTCAGTTCAGTCAATTTAATTATGTTTTCCGTTCGGTATGTTCAATGCTAGGTGATCGTTTTGTATATTCTTGTGTGGTATGTACTAGAACAATTGCATGCAACATCATAATACGAAATAATTTGTTAGATTCCGAGCGACATCAAACGATTTTTATGTCCTTTCTTTATAATCTTTCCAAGAAGATAATTATTTTACATTATTTTGAAATACTCAGCGTTTAATAAATGATCATTTCTCTACTAAACGTTCGGTACTTGTAGATTGACTTGCAGATTACTGTAACACAACTTCTGCAAGATATCTACTATGTTTATTTCATGACTTGTTTTGAATATTATCGAATGCAGATATGTAAGCAATGAAAAAAGAGCCAGAAGGAGTAACTAATGACAAAACACCATGCCTAAACATCAGCTTCCACCTCTTCTCGGTCAACTGTCGCTGACAAGTCAATGAACGTTCACATTCATTTTCATATCCCTGGACCTTTTTGAGTATTCAGAACAAGTCATTTAAACATATTAGATCCATGTGACCTTGAATATGAGCGAAGGTCATTCATTAAAACAAACTTGGTAGCCCTTCATCCCAGCATCTAACTGGCAAAATATCTTAACCCTAGGCCTCTATCAGACGAAGTCGTTTAAAGGGTTTAAAGATATTTGACACCTGCGACCATGAATATAGGTCAATGTCATTCGTTAGATCAAACTTCGTTGCCCTTTAACTCAGCATGCTACTGGCCAAATACCATCATTCTAGGCCTCTTGGTTATTGAGAAGAAGAAGTTTAAAGGTTTTAAACATATTTGACCCCTGTGACCTTGAAAATGGGTGAAGGTCATTTGTTTGAACAACTTTGGTAGCCCTTCATCCCAACATACTACTGACAAAATATCATTATTCTAGGCCTCTTGGGTATTCATGAGATGTTGTTTAAAGGTTTTAAACATATTTGAACCCTGTGACCTTGAAAATGGATGAAGGTCATTCATTTGAACAAACTTTGTAGCCCTTCATCCCAGCATGTTACTGGCAAAATATCATTATCCTATGCCTCCTTGGTATTCAGAAGAAGTCGTTCAAAGAGTTTAACATATTTGACCCATGTGGCCTTGAAAATGGATGAAGGTCATTCATTTGAACAACCTTTGTAGCCCTTCATCCCAGCATGGTACTGGCAAAATATCATTATCCTATGCATCCTTGGTATTCAGAAGAAGGCGTTCAAAGAGTTTAACATAGTTGACCCATGTGGCCTTGAAAATGGATGAAGGTCATTCATTAGAACAAACTTGGTAGCCCTTGTTTCAAGCATGCTACTGGCCAAATATCATCATCCTAGGCCTTTTGGTTACTGAAAAGAAGTTGATTAAAGTTAAAGTTGACGCCGGACAGACGGACGGACGGACGACGGACGCCGCACCATGACATAAGCTCTAAAAACCGGTTAATTACTATGTAATATTTTGAAGAATATTTATTATCAACTTTTGCAGCATTTGTTTTTCATCATCCTCGATACCCAGGGGTTACGCTCACTTTCGCTCTCTGCACCCCTGGAATATGTCATAGCAAAATTGAAGGCACGAAGAAACAAGAGTACCGCGGGCGGAATAATATACGCCCGTCGAATGCCATGTAGTGTCATATACTTTCTTACATTGAAATAAGATCTGCATCATTCTAAGAGTGGTTAGCTGACATGCTATAAAAAATGTAGGAGAAAATCTCCGGACAAACCTTCAAATACTGAAATGAACAAAGGGCAATAACTTTTGCAAAAATCTTCGAATCACAATTCTGTTAAGGGAGACAAAGTCAGCGTTACCCCTGGATATCGATGATGGCTTTTCATCGACTTGGTGACAAAACAGCGTTATGCCTTATCAGCCGGAGAAACAATTTATGGTTTTGGTCCAAACACCTCGTAAAAATGGTTTTGATCATTGACGGATAAACGTGAATTACAACTGTTTTGTTGACAGACAAACGAAAAACAAGTGCTATATGGCTTCCTCGGGTGGCAGTTCGGGTATGTCCCTGCACTTAGGAACAAATAATGACCGTGTTTACTGACTTCAACTCATAGGGGTCATGCAATATTCTATACATTTTATAATGAATAGGGACCATACAGTGATAGAATAGTTGTAAGACCATACGCTAATATACGAGTATAAATAAACAATAACGCGCTCCATAGAATATGATTGTTGCCAGCTGCTTTCATACTACCGTATACGCCGTCGAAATGAAGGTAAATCCTTCTATAAATCATGGAGACCATATATGTACCCCGTATTGCCAATAGGGACCATATGGTAATATATAAACAAATGATATCAAACCGAAAGATATGAATCCGATAGGATATAATTCGTATATGATATAAATTTGATACGTTTTGGTAAAATTCATTCAATAATTGAGGTATAAGACCATACAGATTGGCTGTTATTGGCTCAATGAGAATCTATACTGGATCAAACTTATGTCGTCAAACCAAAACTCACGTCTCATTGAAACAAGCTATATTATTTTTTGATTTTATTTCAATGATATTATACAAATTCCAAAATTACATCTATCTAATAAGTCTCTATAAGAAAATAAACTAGAGGAGTTTTCACTACTTTCATGATTGGACAGAATAGATGGCATACTACTGCATAGTTGTTTAATTTCGCGAGGCTAGTATTTCGCAGTTGTCTCGATCAGAAATAGTTTTCGGGGTTTCAATTTCGCGCAACATTGCTAGTATTATTGTCATCATTATTGGGCAGTAAAATGTTGAACAGGTCTTTTATTTTATTTCTATGTATTCATCGCCGGGTATTTAGTTTCGCGCTATTTTTGGTGACCGATAATACAGCGAAATAAAACCTCCCACGAAAATAAACAAATATACAGTACAAGCGGGGCGACGTAGTTTTTCATTAGAACGTGCCTATAACTTCTACTGAATTTCATAATTCTTCATTTGTAGAATACAAATATGATTTACAGCGAAACGCCTTCAGACCGATCACGTCAACTAGAACATTTTATTTGAAGCGGGTACATTGTTAAACATCATGGTAGCCCGTTGTAAACTTAAAACCATACCATGCTGAAGACCAAACGATCTATTCGGATAAGACAGATATTCGGATTACTCAGGTTTAGTGTACATACACATGTATCTTTATACACTGCTAAAGGTTTATTTTCGACTTGGACAGTTGCAAACTACATGTGATAATGCCCGAACACAAATCTACACAATGATATAATAAACTTACCCTGGTTGGTTGATAAAGAAAGAGTAAGGATAGGGGAAGAGGGTCGCTTGGCTCCTTTTAGTATAAACCAGGATGATAATTAACCACGTAATACTCCAGACGGTTCCGGTCAGCTTCCCCATGAGTATCAACACACTGTGGCCGTACCGATACACAGGTACAGAAAAACTCCCGACAGATCTTTACACCTCAATATCAAGACCCCACAACACAGCACGAATTTACCTTGGTCAGAAATAGTATTCATACACACAATTTTCCACAGGTAGCAAGAAACAACTAGTTTTAAACATTGTTATCACTTACTGCATAGCGCTATGTAACAAGAAAACCTGAATACCAGAACAATAATCCTTATCCGAACGTATTGGTCGCACAAGTTAAATAAATCCACCCACACGCTTGTAACTCATTGTTTCTGAAGTACTGGCCATCTTCAAAATTGCCGTACAGTTAAATAGTCTGCTTGAAATGTCATTCCTTTTCCATAGCTATAACTTATTTATTGTCGTTAGTAAACAGCTCTATCAGGAGGACGATCGTCACAGACCGTGACCGCGAGGCAAGCAGACCCCCCCTGGGCCCTCCAGAGATCCGTGTAGTGCGGCGAGGCATACCACCTTATAATTACCATTCAAGCTTTCATTGGATGCTGATCATGATGAGCTTATCGGTAACCCGTACACTTGTTTATTATCCCCCGCTTTCACCGAAACGAAATATTAATTTGGGTTTGTCTGTCTGTTTGTCACACTTCGTTTCCGTGCAATAACTACAACAAATGTTAACTAATTTTCGTCAAACTTGGCCACAGGGTAAAATACCTTAAGGGCTCGGCCAAGTGCGATGACCACTTTCAGCGGACCCAATTTGGCAGTCATTATCTGCAGTTTCCGCTTAATAACTCTAGCAAATATTAGATAAGTCTTTTTTTCTTCAGGTTTCAAGCTATACATTATGTCTCAACAGCAAGATACTCACATGTTTAAACCTAACCTCAATAATGTTAACCTACAATATGTCCTGAAAGCGGGGGATATACATTCCACCAATTTGCTTGTTAAATGTAGGCGTTGGTATGCTACTGCTTTAATGGAAACATTGAATTGCGCCATTAGGCAAATACTTTTGTCAATGTCCTGTATATTTAATCTTACGAGATAATATACAGTCTAATAAACATGTAAAACGTGTTTCATTACATATCAATCGAACGGGTCGTCATTTCACGGATATATTGAAATATTCGACAAAAAAATGATGTTCGAAATGAAGGCGTCGGTCTATTGTTACTGTACTGGTAAAACTACAAGGCGCCATTATGGTAATTCATTGTCATTATACAGTATTTCATCTTACAAAATGACATGCACAATCGGACATGCATGTAAAATTTGTTTTATTCATCGTTTATCAATTGGACGGATAGTGTTAAAGTTATTCCTTTTTTAATAACAAGAAAATTTTGAAATATTGGACAAGAATAATTTGTTCGAAACCACGCATGGGTGATGAAATATGATCAACTGGTGTCTAAAATATGTAAATAATAAGTGTGTTCATTACATATCATTTAAATAACCTTAAGTGTGTTCATTACATATCATTTAAATAACCGTAAGTGTGTTCATTACATATCACTTAAATAACCTTAAGTGTGTTCATTACATATCACTCGTTTGCGTCATCACTCCAATGAATGTTTAAGTTACTCTTTTGTTTTCAATATCAGAATAATATAGAAATATTTGACAAAAAATGTGTTTTTCGAAATATAGGCGTTGGTCTTTTTCTATTGTAATGGTATAACTATATTGTTCCATTGTGGCAAATACCATTGTCAATATACGGTATTGGAACTCATATGATAAAATGCAAAATCCGAAATGCATGTAAAAGTCGTTTTAATTACTTATCGACCAAATGAGTAGTCACTCAAGTAAACGAAACCACGCAAAGATGATAGAATACATACACTACATCAGTTAGATATTATTCTTACTGAAAAAAACACTTCTATGGGGTAATGATATTTACTCCAAACAGAAAAAGGAGGAAATATTTTTGACAGGCCAAAATTATATTAAACTAAGTAAACGTTTTAGCTAATATTTTTGTACCAATTGTTTTAAATATGGAAACTTAGTGTGCTGTATCATTTAACGGTACTCAGTACAATAAGGTGACCTGTACTTACAAACTAGCAATTTATGGCGTCATAAATCATGTCTGTAATCAATTCTATTCACCACATGTTTTCCCATCCCATATTTAGAGTTGTATTTGTAATATTGTTTATTATTGAATACATATTGTTTAAACTAATGGGGTTTTCTTTTTAAATACCCTAAGTGTGTTCATTATAGGTCAATTGAATGCGTCGTCATTCTACTAAATGGGAAAGTTATTTTTTTCAGTAACTGGATAATATTGATATTTTTCGTGAGAAGATTGGAATATTAATCGAACTAGAATTCAATAATTTTCAAGTGAGGTTAATTTTAAACAATCGTTCACTAGAAATAGACAAATAAAATGCAGCGGCAAGATTAGGAACTAAACCCAAACCTCAGGGTGCTAGACGGACCTATAACCTACAAAGAAATCTACACCGCCGATCAACTGCGTCTAGCTCGACAAAATAGCCTTACAATGTTTTTCTTCTTCTTTTTCCTTATATAATTCGTTTGAAGATCAATCGCTAATTTTCGTTAAGACTGAAAAATACATCCCAAGGTATAACAGGTATAATAGGTCGCTGAACTGAGATTAAATAAATTAAAGTAGTGGCCCAGTGTTGAAATATCGATGTAATCTTTCAAAATATAACTTCAAACATACAGTATGACTCTTGACTTAAACATAAACACTGTAACTGAATAAAACATCGTATTTCATAAGTTTTAGAGGAATCAGGGCCCAACCCAAACACAAAGGCGACCATTGACTATAGAAAACCACTATAACTCATCTTCCCATTTTGTATTACCTATGCACTGTTGCTTACTGTAATCTAACTAAAATCAACCTGCTATTTGAATATGCGTTAAGTATATTTACGTTTATTGTAATTCCTCCTTTTATCCTATATTGCCACTAATGAGTCTGAAATGGACGAAATGGCTCTAGGGTGCAGTAAAACGTTCTCTCTGTTTGGCTTTCTAAATCAAGAAACTATTTTTTTTTTAAATAGATATTTACTAACTTAATATTTCTAGTGATTAATTTACGCAACAAGTTCAAGTTCTTTATTAACTTTAAGTCTTGTGACTTATCAGTGCAAGATGGTTGACTGTACTGTTGTATGATCAGTCCCCACGGTTGGCTGTTCTGTTGTATGATCAGTCCCCACGGTTGGCTGTTCTGTTGTATGATCAGTCCCCACGGTTGGCTGTTGCTGGGAAATAGTATGGCACGGACCGCATAGAATACCGGTTTACGTATAAACTGTCTTTTGTAGTCTAACATAACGATAAAGGTGTTTATTGGTATCCTTTCATTGTATACTAAATGTGTCTAAGAACACTCCAGACATGTTTTTTTTATTCTTTCGACTTTAAGTACCATTGTGACAATGGATGGACGTATTTTTCAAAGTACGTTGTAACATACATTTTATGGGTCTGTAATGGACGAAATGGTCATACGGTGCAGTTAAACGTTATTCCTCCCCCGGCCCCCGAAAAAACGGATAAAATGAGATTTAAACTAAAATAACTTTGCCACCCTGCACTCTTTCACACATGGTGAACTCTTTGTACCATGCGCGCGTCTGTTCATTGAAAGATACGAGGAAATGATAAATTTGTTTTATGAGCAATAACTCCTACAGTTGACAATCATACAATACGCTACATGTCTATAATTTGATGTATAGCTATAATATATTTTCCCTATGTGTGAATTCCCTTTAAATGTGATTGCTAGTAATATCTATGAACACTAGAACGTTTATCTTGTTGACATTCTACCCATAAGTAATCCTCTGAATCGAAGGGTTTCGTTTTTGATACGCGTATCTTCTCTGCTCATTTGGAATTCGAGGATGCACGTTAATATAGTAATTTGGCTTTATTTTTGTAAAATATGGTTTATTTATGCTTTCAAAAACATTCACACAATTCATGGAATTGGCGATAGATGAAATTCTATTACACTATTCATTTGTTGGTTAGTTGAAAGCATGAATCTTGCATGAAGCGTGAAGCACACCAGACAGTTGAATGATTTACTTATGTTCCGAGGTACTGCACGGATGAGGCTATTACTGCAAAAGAATCAATTTTCGCATGTGGAAATATCAAACCATTGTTTATCAATTACTCATTGTGTATAACTTTCACTTTCCTATAGTTGCAAGATTCTTGTACCAACAAGATCTTCAGTTGGTGAAAAATAGTTCCTATCGTCTGAGGGGTTCTGTCTTTGGAGTCTATGAGCAATTTCCGGCCGCTATAGAGGACCGTCGTAAGAGGCTCTACCCTGTCATGAAGCACCACAAACAGCTCGGTGACCATACCAAGATGGTCAGGGATAAGTTGTTCATTAACGGCCAGTTGTACACGGGATCCGATGACATGTCGTTCACAGAGCCTAAAAGAACACTTAGTGCACCACACAGAGAATTGAACCCACACAGTGAACATCAGCGACCGCACAACAACGATGAAACATTCCGCGGTCCACCAAGAAACATCCATCGTGTACCTCCTGGACCAAGTCAGCCCTGGAGAGCACATTCTGTTCCCCAACGATCCAACCCTACGAATGGTAATTCCCAGATGTATGGGAGATAGGACAGACAGGAGAGTGGTATCTCAGTGTGTTCCTGGAATGTGTGCAGGGGTCTAATAGGTAAACTTGAGGATCCGGAATTCCGGAATTTGTTAGTATCGTATGATATTGTATGCGTATCGGAATGTTGGATAAAAGAATTTGATGTTTTACAGCTTTCGGGTTACAGTCATTTTGCATTCCCAAGATCAGTATGTAGAGGAGGTGGTATAGTAATTTTTTACAAACCAGAACTGGCCGATCAAATTGAAGTGGTTGAAAATATCTACGACAGTATTGTCTGGCTTAAGATTAATAATACAGGTACCTGTAACTCCGGAGAACACACATTTATTGCATTTTGTTATATCCCTCCTGAGGGAAGTGTTTTTTATGATCACTGTAATGAAGATTTATTCCAAATTTTAGAAGATTCCGTTGGTAGATATAAAAGCATGGGTGATGTATATGTTATCGGTGATATGAATGCACGCACTGGAAGCAGGCATGATTATATAGAATTAGATACATTACATGATAGTTTAGTACATAATTTAGAAAATGTGGTTAATTATAATGTTGAAACTGTCAGCACTGAGCGTAAGAATATGGATAAGGGGGTAAACACTTTTGGCCGTAAGCTTATTGACTTGTGCAAGTCATCAGGTCTGCGTATAGTTAATGGGCGGCACCCAGATGACGATACTGGTACATATACATTTTTTAATAATAATGGTAAAAGTACGATTGATTACTTGTTGGTTGT